GACAAATTTCACAAAAAATGCGGGGAATAATAGTACAAGCTTTACGAGGAGAGCAGCTGTTCATAGTCGTCTTGCTCTCTCTCAACAATGTGGTGGGCTTGTTCGTACTTCGAAAGTTCTGCAACACTTTTCTGAACAGAAGACACCTGTAATACACCCTATGCGGCACTTACCGATAAATGGGTTCTAGACAATGTGAAGTGCTTACGTTTACATGTGGGCCTGTGCTACTGTAGTTTTTGATTCACTGTGAATTGTTATGTGAGTGCGACATGCAGTGGAACAAAGTTTCTGATAAAATACTTATTTGCTAAGCTATGTGAACCAGTCGATCATTTTTAGAGGTTCTTCACTTTTCCTGTTCGATTGCGTCCTTAAAAAAACTTGTGCCCTTAGTAACAGCGTATGCACCACCAGTCATATACTAATAACTTGCATAGCTTTGAATATTGCCGTTGCATCTCCTTTTTTTTTTGCCACCAGTAGCCGTAACGGCGAGTGTGGCACACTCGTCAGTTCACATGCTTCATGACGCCAAACAGGCTCATAAAGAATGTGCCACACTCGCCGCCATGGCTACTGGTAATGCTTACTGACACTTCCACGTTTAAACTCACATGTATACCCAATAAAGTTGCTAGGGGAATAGCTGCCAACGTCGCTCAGTCGTAGATGGAACGCGTCATTCGAATGTCACAGGTTTTTATCCTGCCCATGACAAGTTATCTTTTCACCCACTTTTCTTTTTTCATATACACATCACAATTTGGTCTAATATCCTCTCCTATACTTTCCTAGGCATTATTGTCTATTAGACCTCATTATTATTGTGTAAAACACGGAAAAACGAACCCTTAAGTATACACTTCTTTCCCCTTTATATATATATATATATATATATATATATATATATTATTTTTCGGGATCAGGGGTGGTGTCATGTAAATTCACCGCAATACCTGAAATACACGTGCTTACATCCGATTAAGCATAGTGAGATCACGGGACGCGTAGTCTCAGGCAATGGCACCTCAGCGAACCCATCGTGTCGTGCGACCTCTGGCCAGCTTCAGGCTGTGTGATCTACCGGCTGGGGCCTATCGGCGTTTCAGAAAACTTCTCGCGTCACTTTATTTTCTCCCAGCGCAGCCAGAATCTTTCCAAGTGTGTGCTCCTTGTGATCCACAAGACCCTTTCACGCAACAAGGTGGCTGGGCTTGTTTTATTAGAAGCGAAGCTCGTAATGCTCAAGAGTGCAATCCGGTGTGCGGCGTGACCACCCTTACTGCGCATGCGTGCCATTCTTCTTCTCTTGTTTCTTACGCTCGCTCACCCTCTCTCTACTCCCAGTATCCCTCCCCGCGGTGTGTAGACCTCCACTATGCATGCACGTCCCCTCCCCGTCTCTCTGATCTCTTACGCACCCCTTGTCTCGCTTCGCAGCGTCGACGCAGGCATCGTCTGCTAGCGAGTTTCTTTATTGAAAAAGTCGACTACTCGCACTGCACAACCATTCACTGCACAACCGCATATATAGGCACTGCATATTGACTTCAAAGGTAGTGGCTGTGGGATATTTCGCATATTTCTTGCGGAAAAATAAGAAGTCGCAGCGTGTGCAATAACTAAAGTGAATTGCGGGTCTCTATGTCAAATTGGAGTAGCCTCTCACTCATTTCCCACTAGCAGCGATCGGCATGTTGCAGTAGGCGACACGGGTCTATCCCTGCGTGCTTTGAGGCTCCCAAAGTTTCCCTCATGCACGACGCCGCGATGAGAGCCAGCGTCAACGCCACCACCAGTGTAAGCGTTAGCTCCCGCTGCTTCGCATCTACACAAGATTCTCTTGAGCGGCAGATGTCGTAATTTTACTATTAGAGCATGTCCTTTATGGAAATGTTGAGAGTGCAAATTTGTCTTGCCCTGTTTTTTGGGGGACAGAACTGAACAGAAACTTTATTTTTAAGTATTTCCTGATTAATGCAATACTACGTACGCGCATCACTTTGCGAGTTGTGATCACAGCTTTGTGTTGGAGAAAAGCCAACTGTGTTTCAAGTGTCGGCTTTTCTCAATGTAACGACTACACCATAAATCTTATTTTTTTAACTAACACGGCAACCCTTCGCTCATCATTCGTTTTTTTTGTGGATAAGCAGGATACCCGTTACAAATATGTGAGGTAGCACGTGAACTTTGTTGATTCTGCATGAGGCAGATGACGATGAGGTAATTAGCTTTTGCAGCGGGTGAGGAGCACTAAACCACATACTTGTTGCCTAGTTTGCATTGCGTGATTATTTGTTGTTGCTCCACTCGTCTGCCACATTGTGTTACAGAGATCAACGAGATTTCTTGAATGACATCACAACTGTATACGGTATTTATGCAAGTGTATTTTGAGTACCATCGTAGCTCTGTGGTAGAATACTTGACTGCCACGTTGAGGGGCTGGGTTGAAATCCCATTATTCCCTGTTTTCGTACTTTTCTGCGTTCTTGTTTTTTCTGTTTATCGGTTGCTTTTTCCTGTATATCGGTTACGCTATCAATGACAACCGCGACGGCGATGTCACTCAGCGCTCAGTTCGAGGCTGCGTCCGCGTCTGAAACATTGCCTTCCTCGCACTTCCATAGTAAGTGTTCCAGAGTTGTCGCGACTTCGCAAAATTTACAGCATTTGAAAATATAGTAAGTGATGAGAGCGGAAGCTGCTTTCGCGGAATTTTTTCTCTGAAAGTCATTGATGCAACTACCATCATCGTTATTACGAGCTCATTCACCATATTTGTATTGTGTTGCTTATTTCTTTAATGACATAACCACGGGATCGTCCCGTGGCCTCTATGAAGAAACTACTGCTACTACCTACAACTATTTCTACTACTGCTACCAACTACTGTTACTACTACCACCACCACAACTACACAACGATGGTGTAGAGGGCAGATTATTACAACTTCGCTGTAAAGAGTAACAAATAGCGGTCAGCGCATGGTAGTATCAATGGTCCATTAACTTTTTTTCATGATAATAAGGGCTGCAGCGCGAGCACCAAGGCGCAAGAAGAAACGTGAAACCAAAGGCGAGGCAAGGAAAGCAAAGAGGACATGAGCGCTGTCCTCTTTGCTTTCCTTGCCTCGCCTTTCGTTTCACGTTTCTTCTTGCACCTTGGTGCTCGCGCTGCAGCCCTTATTATCATGAATTCAAACCAACTAGCCCAAATAGCCGTTCTTCTTTAACTTTTTTTCAGCCGTGCCAAGTAATCAGTGAACAGAAACGTAAATATTATCTGGGGTTTTTCATCCGGAAACCAAGGTATGATTATGATTGACGTCGTAGTGGAGGGCTCCGAAAATTTCGACCAACTGGTGTTTTTTACTGATATCCCACAGTACACTGGCCTCTACCATTTCGCCTACATCGAAATGTGACTGTCGTGGCCACTTAGAAATGTGAGGCAACTATGCGAAGCACATGTAATAAGACACTCACCTTTTAGGAAGTATTCAAATTCAAGAAGGTTACAAAGCAAAACGTCAAGCTGTGGTAAAAAGAATGCTGGTTCGAAACGACAAATGGTTCAGACAACTGCCATTCATGACGCTAACAGCAAACGCTGTGTTGATGGGCATACCTTGACACTATCAACGCACGATTGGTAAAAAAATGTATTTACTTTAGTGAATGCATTTCAACAGGAATCAGAGCTTGGCATTGCAACTGGGTGTTCAACTCGACTTGGACAATGGCTAATCAATCTGATACACCAGCTCTTTTTTTAAAAATAATGGTTGTTTCAGCGTGCAGCATATCTAATTCTTCGAGCAAAAGCGGTTTGGTGCGTATCTTGTCACAGCTGTGCACTGGTAACATCCACATAGATTAAGTGCTGTCATGACGCTGCATGCGCGCGGTTATGAAGTACTTTGTTTGATGTTGGGGTCTTCACGGTATGAAGTCTTTAGCCTGTAAGAGCCTGGTACTTCAAGACTTTGAGAGCCTCGACGTTCCAAAACAAGTCTGACCGAGCATTCTCGAACTTGTGTCAAGGGAGTTGTGGGATTAGCAATTGGTGAATGGCCTCAAACATACGCAGTCATTGCCTGTTTATAGGCTAGTTAATTAAAATAAATTAAAGAAATATGATTCAAGTGCCAGATCGCGTCCTCAGTGCGCAATACTCGCTCTTAAACAGCTCAGTGTCACGTCTCAGCTGATCGAGTGCTTTTAAAGCTGACGAATGGCGTGGTATTTGGCTCTGCTTGCACAGCGGATTTAAGCAGAAGAAGCACGGCTCGTATAAAAGCCATACCAGTAAGAATACTGAATATTACCGCTATAAAAGCAAAAGCGCGTCATTCTTCAGAGTACGAGAAACTAGAAACATGCGTTCATGCGCACAGGCGTCAATCAGTGATATATATATTGCATGTGCGACATACCAGAATTATATCTATAACATAAATAATTACTGTTGCTGTGTAATGCTGTATGATTTTAAGCTTTTAAATGACTATGTAATATAGCCTTCAAACTTGCCGTTATTAGTGACATTCCGCATAATGCATCATTTACGGCATCACTCAACAAATAGTCATTAAAGCATTTTCAGCCCACTTGAGGAACCAAAATTATAACGCTAGCTCGCTGAATTCGCCCTCTGATAGTGCGCAAAGCAACAATACATAGCATGCAGGCAGCGAGAACAAAACGAAATTCTCAGTGTTGCACGAGCCTCGATCTACTATAAAGTTTCTCGTCGTGTTGGTTGACGCAATGCGCAACTCTGCTCCTTCCTTTGTTTATTTTTAAATGTGCGCATGAGCATGCCAGCCTCATGTGCACATACATGTACCCATGATAAAAGAAACTAGGAGGCGCCTAACTTACTTTGCATTCACCAACTATTGCTGCAGATTGCGCATGACACGCTAAACTTCCGTGACGCACCTCGCCAGCGAGGGACATATGCCGATAGGTAGCAAGCACGGCCATGGCGTTGCCAATGCCACAAGTTTCCCTTCTAGCCCTAAAGTTTCACTCCACGGCAGTCCATCACAAACAGGAACAAGTATGCTGCACCGGTATTCGGTGACGTGTTCACTCCAGGAAAGCTGTAAGTGTGCGGTGGAAGTGTAAGCAGTTCCATGAGACGATTACGTAGGGGGCGTGTTCCGGAATGAGGCTCGAAGTACCGGTGTACGAGAAAGTTTACGGATTCTTCGAAAGGCCCATCTTGAAGGGACTTCTCATTCATAATGATGAGGGCATAATTTATCTTATTATTCTTGCTTTTGTCAATTGACGAGCTACGCAAGCACACTCGCGGAACCTTGAAGCTTTCCCCAGTAAAATTAGCATGTCTACGTCCACTATGGCTGAAGTATTCCTTGCTGCTCAAGAGGACCTTACCGAAGTTGCTATACAAGAAGATGAAGTGAACATTGGCGAAGACGCTGATGAACTTCTGGCCCTTTCGGACGACATCGCGAAGAGTATTTTAGAATCTGAAGAGTGGCCATCTTACATAGAAAGACTGCGGCAAGCCGGCGACGATGATGAGCACATCGAAGAGCTGTTGCTGGCAGAAAGGTCCGGTCGACAATACCCGCTCTGGAACGCCGACGAACGTATCCTGGACGACGTTGATCCACCGCTGCCTGTTGGGTGCCTTGACGTCAAAGCCGATCTGCCTTCTCTGCACCCGACAGATGACTTTCCTCTGCTATCACCATTGAACAACAGCCTTCGGGTTGACGACGCGAGCCCCACTAACCCTTTACCGCCACAGCATTGCTTGCGTAGCAGTGTTTCAGACTGTGTTCAACAGACATCGTCGTTCACACCTGACCGCTATAGCAAATCATGCTCCAGTTCTGTATTTCTGTCGTCTACGTCAAAGAAAACCAAGAAGCTCGACATAATTGAAGAAAACAAGGCCAGTAAAGAACGAAAGCAATCGTCGTCATCTAAGCCACTGGGAAGTCATGTCGGTTCCTCCTTGCACTATTTGTCTGGGCGATCGGGAAGCCGGAATACTGAATCCCTTTCATCCGCCAGGTGCTCGGCGACATCGAAAAATTCAGGAGAGTGGTCGCCTGACATTGAACAGCTGCGTGCTTCTTTGACTGGTTCGGGATCTTCTGGAGAAGGTGATTTGTTCAAGTCTTCCTTTCGCATAAGCAAGAGCGGTAGCTCAATATTGGCCTTGGAGCGACTCTTTCTGGAGGCGATCGACTCAACAGCTCAAGACCTACAATCCCAGGCGCAGATTCCCGAAGACGTTCACGTTGGTCTGACACGGGCCGCGGCAAGAGAGAACGCTAATGCGCGCCACCATACAGCAATAGCATCCAGTACCACGAGCAAAGGACTACCCCTGCAACGTCTCGGAAGGGGTGCCTTCGGAAGGGTTTTCGGAGTGCAAATCAAAGGTACGCCACAAAAAAATACAGCAATTTATGGCTCCATGCGTTACCACGTTTTGATAAATAGCTTACATGTACAGTGGTATTTGTGTATATATCTGGCAGCTGCGTTGGAGATAATGTGCAAACTACAGTGGTAAAGTGCACCGGTTTAACTTTGCATTGTTGCATGCACTCCCACAAGCATAGAGCTAATCATGAGTTCAACTAACACTTAATTTCACCTAGACGATCACTACCATTAATCACTTTGTCTACTTCTCTCCCTGTCTCTTCCTTTTATTTATTTTTACCTACTTCTTGTGTGTTTTATATCGTCATAAAGTCATTCGCTAACAAAAAATATTCTTGTTTTTACGAGTGATTCATTCGCTAACGGTAAATATTCTTGTTTTTACGAATGATCTATTCGTGGTCAGAATGGATTCAGAACATCTTACGATGACACAGCCGAGTACTGCAGAGAAGAGTTAAGTTTGCAATACACAGAAGGCCATGGGTCTGATTACCGCCCTTTGTAGCTTTCTGACGAGGAGAAATTCTAAAACCTCAAGCACTTTTAAGATTAAGGTACGTCTTAACGAACGCCGCAAAGTATTCTAAATTATCTCTGAGCACTTTACGACAGTGCTTATCCAGCGAGAATCATGGCTTTCATGACGTTAAGCCCCCGTGGTCAAGTATGTATTTAAAGAATGTAGTGGTTCTCTGCCGAAACGACTATCAGGTAATATTGATATGCCAGCTTCACGAAAGACGTATTGTATTCAGTGTGGTAGATCAATACCAGATTGCGCCAGCTTTTCTGAAGAAAACTTGCTGATGGAAACATTTGTATATAAACGTGGCTAATTCAGTAATTTCTTTATGCGTGTGTGACTAGTTTACTATGGCAGTGCTTTCAGCTAAAAACAGTTTTATTCTAGACAGAACGCCGTACGCTGGCAGTTTGCCATGGTTTCAGGTGTCCATGTATGATATTATGAGTACTACGCATTCTCTTATTATTTATCTTCAAGGTTGAATCTAGAATCACCTATTAGTTTTTATAGTTCATAGATGTTGAGAAGTGCGGTTGTCTTCAAGCAGCACAATATCTTGAAAAGATTAAAAATTCTTGTGACATGGGGTGTCACTAGAACTACGTTTCGGCCTTCTTCAAGCTTGCAACCTTGGAGTTGGTCTTGAAGCTTCTTCTTCAGTTGCCGAGTCTTGAAGAAGACAACTCCGCTTGTCGAAACATCGGCCCCACCCGCCACATACCTCATGTTCCAAGGTTTTTCATCTCTTCAAATTGTAATTAGAACACAATTGTGCACTCATGTGGCAACATGGATGAAGCAATATCTGCTCTGCTAAGTAGAGTGCGTTCTACAGCCCCAGTACAGCATATGGCGTATTATTAACTGTTCAGAATTACACGATCTGCACTCACGTCACAACTAGAGAGCCTTTCAAGGTGCAATATTTCACTTCAAGTTCGATAAAAACTTAGTGAACACCTAATATAAAGGTAGCACAAATATTCTCAAGACAGCTCTGCGCAAACACAATGTGGCAATCGAAAAATCCCAGCTGTTCAAATAAAACATATTTCTTTATTAACTGCTGTGTGCAAAAATTCCACAACAGTCATAACTTCATCGGCACCCATAAAAGGCAGGTTACAGTAAATTAACATTCACTACCACTGTTATCTTTATTATATGACAAAGCGAATGTCTATGCATAAAGGCTAAAACAAGCAGCACTATTTTTAGACGTGGAAGAGTCCGCTCAAGACACAAGTCACATGCTCTTTCCTGTAAGGGTGCATGGTACTTGAGCACATATCTTAGCTTCAATGTCATGTCATAGTAACTTCTTAATTTTTTATTTATTTATATTGTTACACAAAGGCCAATGAAGGTTGGCCTTTGTGTAACTTCACACACCATTGAAGCCACAAGCACTACTCAAGGAAAACACAACTGATAAGCCATCTGGCAGTTTTAAACAAGCCTACATCATACGGGCCACACCAATCATAATTTAAAAAACACAAAAATTGCCAAACGTACAACACAAAAATTTAAGTTTTACACAGTAGTGACCAACGATGAGCATATCGTAACACAACTGCGAACAGTACACTCAAAGAAAGCTGCACCATATGGGTCAAAATATTCAACTTCGTAGTCGGAAAGCATTTCAATATTGCGTACACTTATTTGTAATTATGTGAAAGGATGCATGCCGCTCATCACTGGGAAAAAAATGAAAGGTAAACCTGGATGAATACGGTTACATGGAAAATTATTGGGCCAGTACCGCTTTTTCATATTCGCCTGAAGAAATAATTTCCGTTGGGATATTCGGTCGCGTGTTCCGCTCTTCAATAGTGGTTATGGCACTCTGTTATATTGCAGAAGTCACATGTGCGCTTCACTACAATGGCGGCTGCCACTTGATGTGAAAACACTCGTATGCTTACGATCTGTATGCGTTAAAGAACCCCTAAACGTGATCAAAAGAAATGTCGAACACTGCACAAAGCCGCTCTTTCCAGACCACCACACAATTTCGGGCGCTCGCAAGCATAGCTTCTTGACCCTGATTCCTTTTCTTTTCCTGATGTTCCTTAACTTGAACAAGGCGGGATACAAAGTGCAACATAGTTAGTGTTCTTTACTCGGCGTTCCTCTCTCTAATTTCTCGCGATGTAATCATTTGTCCCGAATTTGGAAAACGTTGTCATAGACTAAGGTTGACTTCGTGGTTAAGCTTCTTGTTAATAAATAAAAATTCGCTGCTAGAAAACTGCCAGTACCCGACACTTTGTAGAATGGATGCTGAGCTGGTCGACTTCAGAACATACTGCATTAACAAACTTCGCTTTATTAGCACTGCTGGCGAAATAAAATAACTTTGTGAATCCAAGAGTAGTTCACGCATAGCGTGTACTATTTTACAACTAATTTGTTACCGTGTAAAGGGATGCTACAACAACTCTCGAAATCAACCATTCCTCGTTAAACGTGTTCACAACCACAGCACAACTTCAATATAATCCAAAAGTATCACAGAGCAAGTGAACAGCAGAATGAACAATTTAATAGGATGTTCTCAAATAACATTGAAGTTTCAGGGATGCTAAGACAGTTTAAGGCCTGTAGTTCATTGGATGACGTCTTTGAGCTGCACCGAAACAACGAATGTACAAAAAAAATGAACAGCACAGATGCTGACCGTAGAAACTACCCATCAAACAGTGCCAGTAGCGTAGGCAGGGGTTCACACGCCGAGCCTGAGCCCCCCCCCCCCTCCAAAGAAATATTTCGTCATAACATGCAGAGCGCAAAATGAAAATTTGCCTAACCAACCCCCTCTTCCGATCAAGTAGCCCCTCCACAAAAAAAAATTATACCCGCGCTCCACCGCTGCGCTAATGAAGCGTGGGCATTAATTCATTCAGCATCTTATGCTGAATGCTTAGCAATATGCTGCACTATGAACAGGTACGTGTTTCAGCCGGTGTTGGAAAATTTCCAGCCTTCTACGTCGTTATTACTGCGCTGGTGAAAAAAAAACGGTAAATTTGAACTATGCCATTTCTACTGCGCAGCTCTTTTCGCCCACCATGTGCGTTTTCATACGTATTGATTTTTTTCAGGAGAGCACGCTCTTGCGTGATATATCACCGTTATTTCGGACGTGCTAGGAAACTGATTCGTTTAGCTTGTTCGGTGTTTAGATTGAGTTACGGCACGCAGAAAAGATATCTGAGCTGGTTGAATCGAGCCAGTGACTTTGAGGCTTCAGGCGCGACGTTCAAGCAATGGGAATGCGCTTTGTGCAACTCTTAGCGGCTCGTATCATACGTATATTCACGCGTGCAAAGCGGCTAACACACAGCACTCTGAATAAAAATTTTATAACCGAAGGTGCATACCACTGCCCACCTGCGCTTTTTTTTGCGAAGAACTTTTGCCAGCGATAACATGCTCGTATCTCTGCTGTTCCAATAGGTCGACCGGCAATATATAGACAATGATTTTACTCCCGCAAGAAATATAATAGAGCTATAGTGGCGTCTTCATAAGTAAACGAATACTAAAAGTTGCTGCTTCTACGAAAAATTACGAGCGTAGCACTATCTAGATACACTTACATCCGTGCACAGATTTCATCTTGTACCCCTTCATTTTCCTCCTCACGTGCAGGGTATTCCAAGCGGTACGTGGTCCAGTTAACATCCCGGGCTTTCCTGTGTTCCCTTTTTCTTTCACTTGATTCAATAATTGATTTCGCTGGTACATACGACTGAGGAACTGAAGATTCTGCCGACATCACTTAGCGCCCAAGAACGAACATTACAAACTCGCAGACACTGATATACTACAACAGTTATCACTGGTCTGAATGTGATTTCATACTCCATACCACGTTTTTTTCTGTATTAGTCAAAGTGGAATTACGGCACTGTTCACGTGTGATAAGCCTTTCTTTTTCACCGTTTTGTTAGTATTGGCCTCGCAGCAGTTAGGTTACAGCCTTCGACAAAAAATGGAGTCATTCACGATCCTCCCCTGCTCACATGACAGTGAATCCTACGTAGCCGTATTATTCACAAAACAAATGATCGTAGAAGATCCCCTTGCTTTTGATATTGCAGTTTTAGACAAGTTACGTGAGCGTGCGAATATATAAATTATAATTATCATCTTGTACCAATTGTCTTTATTAATGCATATGTTGACACAGAATAAGCACTTTTATCAATCTTGTTTTCTGCGAATCAAAGACGCCTGCTTTATGACTTTTTTTTACTTACAGTGCAACTGTGCTTCCTTCCACATGTACCCTATAGCGACGAATCTAACTACTCTACTTCAATCTTAAAATTTAAGACTACAGAATTTCGTGAATAGAGAAAAGTAAGTGTTGCGATGTGTTCACTGGAGCATCAATGCATGTAAGTAATATTAGCGAAAAGCAAGGCGAAAGCTGAAGAGGTACAGGAAAGAGTGCAACGTGCTACTAGATTTGAACAAAGCTTCCTTTTTGTACAGTGCAGCCAGGAGCACAGTTACATTTGAGCAGGACAGTCCGGTACAGCCATACTTTTACGTAATCAAGCTCTCAAGAATATATACTTCGGCTCTACGCAGTGTCGCCGACGTATCAATAATACCGACATCTCGTTTCACATTGACGCAAATCTTGAAACAACGAGCCCCACATAATATTATTGGGTTTTAACGTACCAAACCACCATATGGCTATGTGTAGGGCTTCGAAAATTTCGACCACCTGGGGTTCTTAACGTGCACCTCAATCTAAGCACACGGCCTCAAGCAATTTTGTCTTTATACAAGTGGCCAACAAAAGGCCTAATTAAACATCAATAGAGTTTTCTAAAGACTTTAAAAGTGGCAATGAGTTCAATTAAATTTATTTACCGCAAAAACAGTCTGGAGAGACACCTTGATGGGTCTCCCTCCAGATTGTTTGTCTACTTTAGAAAAGTAATGCCAATTACAAAACTGCTTCCAAATAGCTTTCACATTACTGCTATTCTGCTTCAGTTCCACTTTTGTGAACTCTGCATTATATGCGATTATTCATCATGTGCTTATTATTGTAATGTTTACCAACTGACATCGTTCTTGTATAAGTGCCCCTGTTGACGTAAGAAGGTGATGGGACGGAATCGAGCTGCCCGAGTAAAAACTGTGGAACGTTTTTACGCTAAAGAAATATCAACAACGTATGGTTGAGTCATTGCGTATTTTCTAACAAGGGTGCTGTTGAGCCCAGAGAGGAAGTGATCAAGTTAGTCCACGTTGAATGTTCCCGTCAACTCCACAGTGTAACTGCCGTCAACTACTGAAATTTCATCACTTGAAGAACATAGATTGATTTGTGATTTGAAAACTGAGTTTATGTGTCTGTAGTATTTCGTGGGTAAGCAATGAGGCATCAGTATTTTCCTGACTGTATTGTCATGAGAGCGTACATTGTTTATGGTGAAAGCTCTTAAGAGGCATATCAGGAGAGAATGGCGTGGCAGAAAGTAAACTGGCGAGATATCATTCCCGCCACTAGGAAGTCTGATCACTTCATTAGTCGATAGAACATTCAGTCGATGCTCCCGCATTTCGCAGTGAAAGCAGCGCGCTTGTGCAGGTCGCCTGGTGGCCGTGAAGGACGTGCGCAATGTTGCCGAGCCCAGCGAGAGGAACGCGTCGCAGCTGGTGCACCGGCACGTGGTGCGCACCCTGTGTGTGGCTCAGCTGGAGCCACGCCGATTCCTCGTGGTGATGGAGTACGGAGGCCCGCGCACCCTCCAGCATCTGCTGGACGACCGCGGCCCCTTGGGAACCCTCGACGTGTCCCGGTGAGCACAGAATGCTTGAAAACGTGTTCGCATGAAGAGAATCGTTCGTGGCACTTGCCAAACTTTTAAAACGACACAAGCTTTAGCTCATCTAAGTTCATTCTCAAGAGGTTTCCTTGTACAAATGTTGTCCATGTTGTCCCTTTTCTCCAATCATATCTTTTTTATCACCCTTACTTTCATTCCATCTGTGTAGCCTGACAAATAGAAGGGCTCCAGGTTGACATCCCAGCTTTTCTTTTCAGTTGCTCCTTTTCACTATATATTGCTTGAATGCAGAAGGAAGAGTTGATACGGCTATGAAGATAATGTAATGCTCTTTTTCAGCAATCACTGAAGGCTGGAAACATTGATAAAGATGTGAAGCAAGAGATAAAGCCATTACGAGAAAAAATGGTAATATGAAAATTAGTTACATGATGGTATATACACATTTTATTTCGCAAAATGAAACCTGCAAGCTCTCAAGATTGTACTCATCGGAATTCTCTGGAACCATCTAAAAGTCAAATTCCACAACCTTCAATAAAACGGCATTGATCTCAGCATGAAATAGACACAACGATACAGCGAATCTGTTTACATAAAGTTCATAATTTTCAAAGCTGCCTTTTCCCGTGGCAACCACATTTTTTTTTGCAAGAACGATGCAATGAAATAAGACCTGTGTACCTGGATTTAGGTGACCGTTTAATGGACCCTAGATGGTTGAAATAGAACTTGGAGTTCCCCACTATGATGGATCTCATGACCATAGCTTTTTTTGCACATAAAGTGTGCCGTAGTTTGCCCTTTTTAGCTACAATGAGCCATGAAGGCGTAAGAACACGGTTTTCTGACTCCCCTCTTGATGCTAGGGAGGTTGTGGTGGTGGCTCTGTTGCAGCACAACGGATTAACCTGGCGTGCAACGCCAACATTTGCCCCATGCAAGCCTCCAATTACTTCTCCTAGATTGTTTTGTTTGTTTAGTTTGTTATACGTCGCATAATTGGTATGCTGTGTTGTTTGTACAATGCACACCTCTATTCACGAGGAAGTGAGCAGTCAAAACATTTTATCTGTGCATTGTATAACCTGCTCTGTTATGGCGTACCATGCCATATTTGGGTGAATTTTAAACACCATATTCAGCAACAGCCTCTTATGAATTATAACAGAAAGCTGAGTGCGAGCTAATTTATGGCAGACCAATATTTCAGAAAACATAAAAGTGTCACGTAGTATCAGATATCCATTATCAAAGGTGGGTGAAAAAGTAGAAATTGATGGTACCTGGTGCGCAGAAAACACAGCCTCTGTTACGTAAGACCAGAACATGTGAAAAATAAGTAAGAAAACTTGAACTAATGTCAGGAAAATACGGTCCCGCAAATTGCCAAGCATTCTGAAGTACACAACTACATTCTTTGGGGGAAATATGTGGTGCTTATCTTTCCTAATTTATACTTACAGCTTGCACGTGGCGGCATGAAAGCATAATATGGCGTCAACACGGGGGCTTAAATTACATCAAGGCAGCATGTAGTCACCCGGCTATCAACATGCAACAGTGTGATAGCAAGGTCACTTGAACGTTATCAATTGTAGGTACATAAATAGCGAAGGAACCGGCATGTGATGTACTGACGGCTTAACGTCACTTCAGAAAGTTGGCGTCCCTCCGTAATTATGCACCAATAAACGTGACGGCGTCAGTGACGCTGGTACAGGCCATCTCTAAACATAAACGTAAAAGCTACTTCGCCTGTCCACAACAAGTGCCGCAGATGCTGCCCCTGCGTTTAGTTGTGCAGGAATAGAAAAGGCTGATACCGCGGTTTTCTTGCGCACAGTTCAACAGTAAGAGATATGCACGAAAACATCACACGCCATGGAGGGAGGTGTTTTTGTGCATGCAGGGTAAGGCATCTCACCCTGCAGGCTGAGGCGATGTGTCATCTCACCACATGCATGCGCCAGCGAAGGATGGCTCCGAGATGACGCTCTTCACGAAAAGACGCGAGCACGATGCGCCTTCATTCCACTTTTATCGCCTTCTAACCAAGGGTACTTGCACTCTGACGTAGCAAACTCCCGTGTTTTCTAAGCGCCCTCCGCGATTAGTTTTGATTTCACCACTGAAATTCAATGAATATCTCAATTTACGTTCAACCTTTGTGATTACTAAAGGAATAGGTATGCCATAAAATGGGGCGTCTTAGAAATTTCTAATTTGAACTGTCCTCAAGAGAATATTTAGTGTTAATTAGGGAGATTTTGTTGCCTGTTATTGTCAATGTCCTTTTATTTGGGGCAAAATATTCCGCCGCGACAGAGTGCAGGTATGCGTAAACAACTGTACTGTGAATATAATAAAATTTCTCAAGAAAATGTGTATTGTCTTACAAAAAAGGCCATATATAGTGTGCATCAATAACACTAGGTACGCACATCGCGGAAACCAAATATTCTATGCCTCAGGAATGCGTAGTAAATATACCGCCATTCCTTTATCGGCGCATTGTGCTTGCGTGTGGTTGAAAACGCTATTTGTAAACTGTCAGAAAGTATAATCCTAGAATTGATTGGTCCCTCCTTGAAGACAGTGCCGTGGGTGGTGAGCAAGCTTACAATCTCGAGGGCCACGTGTCTAAGAGTTGAGGTGTTCCGGCAGGTATTAAATAAAAGCAGCCAATTGGTTCAAAAAAGAAAAAAACGATCAAGGCCATGGTAAGCTGCAATGTAACTTTGTGCAGCACATCAACTCCTTGTCGCCCCCCGTTGTGTAGCTTCTATCCCGCTATAGTGGCTGCGAAAGTAAAGAGAAAGAGGAAGTTTTGTGTGATTAGTGCGCATAAGCGTGAAGTACCTTAAAACATTTTGCCGCTCAAAATTCGCGAAAGAAGAGATTCCATTAGTAATGCGATCTCATGTAAACCTATAGAAGTGTTGCCCATCATTTTCAACGTGCTTTACAATGCCATGCTTGAGGCGTTCATGCATTTGACTTTTTACGCGTGTATCCTTACTGGTGCACGGCAAGTTGAAACACCTTATCAGCAGCGAGATCTCTTCGCAGCATTTGTAAATACCTGTGGTCACTGAGCGAAAGTAACAACTTCGCTGCGAAACGCTGAATACTTTCAAGCTGTGACCAATATTTCATAACACGTACAGGTATATCCACACTCATGTGTGTAAATGTAGCTCTAAAGTATTCCTGTGCATTTTTTTAATCACTGAAACTTGCGTGAGCTCACAAGAATCCGTGAGTGTGCTTGAAGAGCAAAGATAGAGGCGCGATTTGGTAGAACAGAGAGGACGAGCTCCTTGTTTTTGGCAGGTTTGGCCGCCAGCTTGCTTCAGCGCTACACTACTGCCATCGGAATAATGTTTTGCACCTGGATGTAAAGCCAAGCAACGTGCTTGTTCACAACGGAGAGAGCAAGCTGGCCGACTTTGGAAGCAGTGCGACCCGTGGTTCCCACCCCAAGGTGAAAACTTTTTTCTTTCAACTCGTTGCTGCTTGCTCTGTATTCATTTGTATAACCTTTCCCACGCATTTGATTTTTGTATTGTATACCTGAAGTGGGACGCAGAGGGGTTGAAATGCTCAGCAATAAAACGTGAATTTTCGGTCAAAGACACGCTGAGCATAACGCAAGTTCAGCGGGATTTGAGTGCCGGCTGTCCAAAAAAATCATTTAGGAAAGTGTTCTGCATTTAAAATCAAGTGCAGATCGTCAGAGAGCTATGCTTGTTTAGGCTGATTCATTTGGTACAGCAAGTGCGAAATATGGATGGCCCGCATCAAATAAGCAAGTATATATGTGTATAAGCGTCGGCAAGATTTTGTCTCAATGAAGGAGGGTGTAGAGGGTGGTTGCAGGTAGGGGATGGGAGGAAGTAAGCACTGTTGTAGCTTCCTGGTGGGACGTGCTTGTGACTTAGTAGGAAGGAAAAGGGGCAAGGGTTCTTTTTGCCCTCCCGCCGACACCCATGCTTCTGTGCGAGTGCACGTATTTGTACTTGCGTTTTTGAAGTGTGAGCCGTGATGACAATAGACAAAAAAAGAGAGTTAACATATACACTAAGCACATTCATTTTCAGTTTGCTCTTTGTTTGTCCAGGTTTGCGGAACGGTGCAGTACATGGCTCCCGAAGTCCTCCTAGGCCAGCGGCCGGAGTTCAGCGCAGACGTCTACTCGCTAGGTGTTGTCCTCTGGCAGATGCAGTCTGGTGCGAGGCCTTTCGATGGCCTCCACCAGCACGCTGTCATGTTTCAGGTGTGTGAGGCCAGTCAATGCTCAACGTGACTGTATGCGTGTATAGTGTTGCACACACTGATTACTGTTTATTTTGCCATAACGTGATGAGAACTCTGAATACGTCATTTTATTTCTACCTCCTAATGTTGAAAGCCTCACCTTTTTGGTGCAATATGGCGAGAGTAGCCGGCGCTTTGTCATAAATAAGATGAGAAAAAAAAAAAGATTGTTGAAGTTAGCGTCCCAAAACCACCATATTATTATGAGACAAGCCGTAGTGGAAGGCTCCGTAAATATCGACCGCCTAGGCTTCTTTGCGTGCACCTAAATCTAAACACACGGGCCGCAAGCATTTGCGCCTCCATCGAAAATGCAGTTGCCGCGGCTGATATTTGCCTCGGCGACCTGTGGGTCAGCAGCCAATTGCCTTAGCCTCTATACTACCATGGCCGGACAGAAAAATAACACAGTACAGCGCTGCATTTTTACTAAATAAAGGCGACGGTGGTGTGGTGGGAGTGGAGACAAATGCTCTGCCAAATCTTCCCTTTCATTTTTCCGTGTAGCCCACTGCCATTTTGATAGAGCTTTGGACGGGGCCGGAGTTGGGATCTTATATCTTTTAGTTTATTTCTCTGTAAAATGAGCTAGTGTTTGCAAACTTCATTGATGAAGGCTTGTTGTAGGACTAATTGAAGTACGTTAGCATAGCCGGGAGGTTCAATGCGGTTCGAGCCCCCCTCCCTCCCCCCATAAGGAATTTTTAAGTTTTGCATGTGTGCTTATACACGCACACGCAACATGCAAACGCACGCAAAACACATATAATGTCTCATAAACCCCCTCTCCCCCTCCGAAAAAAATCTGGCTATGCCCCTGTTGGAATAGCACACCTGCGGTTATAATACACCAGTGGAAAGTTGAAACATGCAGAAACCCGAGAGGTGCACATGCGATTAGGCACAATCTATCATTCAATCTCTTCAAAAATAGAAAAATGGAGGACGTAATCACGACAGCTACAATGCCCATGCGTGAAGAGTTACACGCAAGCTGTGTTGTGCATGTGTGACATGTGTGTTAGCACCTACCTGCACCCTACTATGAGCAAATTACAGCGCTGTACGCGAGCTCCGCAATTTTTCTCACCTCCCAGTTTCGCTTGTAATAACCTATTTCAGCTTTGTTCTTCTCTTACAGAGTCATTCGTATTGTGGAATCTTCAAGTCGCTTGTGACCTTTTCCGGACTCATTCACGTTGTTCTAGCAGATAGTTATTTTTGTTCTTGTCACATTCGCTAATCAGACGTTTGTCGATTACGGGATGTAGTCGAGCGTTGAAATTGAATGAACTCGCGCAACATCAATCACTGACAATCAACATAGTCGAGACCAATCTTGGGGTCAATATAAATTGTAAACAAGGGCAATTTTTTACAGTTGCGATTACTTTCAGTGCACAGAATAAGGTTTATTAACCTTCCCTTCGTATGTCAGCAAATGTTTTCCAGTACAGTTCGCCTGAAGTGTACTCTAGAACAAGAACATTCATAAGAATTCGGCTTCTTTCGGCTTTCATTGCCAAAGTCGCGCTGCTTTTAAATGCGAAGCATTTCTTTGCGAACTTCGGTGACCTTGAGCGTATCTATCTATCTATCTATCTATCTATCTATCTATCTATCTATCTATCTATCTATCTATCTATCTATCTATGTATCTATCTATCTATCTATCTCTATCTGTCTATCTATCTATCTCTATCTGTCTATCTATCTATCTATCTATCTTTCTATCTTTCTATCTATCTATCGATCTATCTATCTATCTATCTATCTATGTATCAAGCCGCCAACGGCTTTCAGGTCTCCGGGTCGTTTCGATAATGGTATCAATACCAAATATAAATGGCATAATATGACTGTACCATGAGCATATGTGTCTAGCCATAACATGAAAATCCTGACATATATGTCATGAATGTCATCATATACATTTAATGTTCTTCCTGCTTTTGCGGTGGTTTCGTTCACATGACATGTTTCAAAACTGGTATAGTATGACGTGACTGCATGACAAACACAAGTGACGCAACCTAACGTGAATATGATGACATGCATGTCACAATTTTCATGCCATGACCATGGTTATGACAACATGTCGCACTCATAGTGCGCTCGCAGTCATTTCGCTAGCTTGACATACACCAAATGTGATGTAACGTGACGTCAACAAGTGACGAGGGTATATAACTGATGAAAATTGATAATCATAAGGTTCGTGTCATGTAAGAAGACTACACGCCATGCTCATGATGTGCTCGCAACCGTTTCGCCAACTTCACGTATACCAATTTTGGTGTGACGGGGCGTCAATAGATGGCAAAGGTATATGACTGGTGCAAACATGATATTCATGACATGAGTGTCATGTAAGAACATGACAACTTACCAGGCTCATGATGCGCTCATGGCCCTTTCTCTAGCTTCACCAAATTTGGTATTACGGGACGTGAATGAACGACGAAGGTACATGATGTCAACAAACATGATAATGATGACATACGTGTCATGTAAACATGACTGCATGCTACACCCACAGCGCGCTCGCAGCCGCTTTGCCTGCCCTACATATACCGTATTTGGTATCACGTTACGTGAATAGACGACGAAGGTGAATGACACATCTAAACGTAATAATCGTGATATGCGTGTCATGTGAAACATGCTTACAAGCTACGCTCATAGACGTCAAACTCTGCCGAAGAGGCGGAGCGAAAAACGCCACCACCAGCGCCCCTATTAACGCACCGGCCATAAATAGGTAGTGCAAAGCAAGCCGTCCGCAAGCGAACGTACATAGGCCCTTTTCGTTTGGTGGTTTTGAGGCGCGGTTTCCGGAAAATCAAGGACCTGGCAAGCTTCTTCCTTCAATCCAACCTCGCTTCAGAAATGAAAACGAACTGCGGGTACAATGCAAAAGCTGTTTCAGCTATTTCAGCATACTGAAACAGGCAATTTAGGTGCAAGCGAGCATTGCGTGACATTCAGTTCAAGGCAAGCACCCCGACGTGCGTTTTTTAACGCCTACACGCGTTAAACTTGCGCATACACATGATACGCCAAAGCGATAAAGTGCATACGCGAGGAATCTATCTTACGATCAGTGGTACGAAGCCCGCTTTATTGGGCACGAATAGCGCTGTCGATTTTAACCTTTGCAGTTGCATAATCCATAGATATTTCGCTAGTTGTGCATTGAGCTGCTTTGTTACGCATTCTAGAATGTTCTGTTGACAGTTGTCCTTCATTTGTATATACTGCAAATGGAGATACATACGTGTCCAATTGTTCGGTGTACAACGAAAGGGAAAACAGAGGCCTCCGAGAGTGCTCCGGCAGTCGCTGACACCAACGGCAAGAAAAACCTGATTGTGGTCACGATAATTTTATTGTTTACCTGCATGACGTACGTCTTTGCATTTCTTCGTTAAAGCCGGAACTTAGAGCCTTCAAAGCCTACGTGCGTAACGCTGTGCAACTTCGAATTAGCGGTGGTTGCGGTGTGTGCTATGTTTATCACGTGCGTCACCTTTCTACTGCTGCACGGCACGCACCAAGGTCAGAGACTCGGTTAAGCTCCATATTGAAAGTTACTTTGGTTATCCTTCAAAGCTACTCAAACCGATAACAAGAGACCGACATTATCACACTTTCCCGTGCGAACGCCTGTGGTGAACGCGAGTAATTCACTTACACAATACGTTCGCAGCGGCCCGTATCCAGCACTCTCGCCTTTATGTTTTGCGAAAGCTGTGGCAATTGGTAAAATTGAAGTCGTTCATGTTCATGGCAATTCACAACGCAACACTAGCGTCGACTGGGGCCTTTTCGTAGAGCGTGGAGCTGTTGCGTCTGCTCTTGTTTTCACCGTCATTCTGGCGAAGGTAAATGACACATTCAAACATGATAATTAGAACATGCACGGGATATAAAACATGGCTACATGATACGGCCATAGTGTGGTCACGGCCGTTTCCCTAGCTCCGCATAGCACGTCACGTGAAACTAAATTTGGTATGACGTAACGTGAATGAACGACGAAAGTAAATCACACATCTAAACATGATGCTTATGGCATGTAAGTCATGTACGACATAATTTATGTCCACTTCGAAACGTTGCATTGATCTTAAAGTTACATATCAACCTTTCTCATTCGTGCTTCGCATATCATGGATTCCCACTGTACGTACGGTCTGCCATTTTTTTTTTTTTTTGCTCCTTTCGGGATGACTGTTTGGATGGCTTCTGGAAACTGCGTGCGGTGAATCGTCGTTCACTTATCGAAAAACACCTCTGTCTATGTAGACCACACGGCATACAACTCCTTCACACTGCACTGCGGAAACGACAAGCGATTTGGCCACGCGATTTCGAGCAGACTAAGCATGATTGGAGAAAAATAGTGAAATTGATTGTTGCATGACGCAGGCTTTCAAACAGTCGACCTTCCATAGTGCAAACTCAAGTGCAATCCTGAGCCAGCTATTCTGGCAGTGGCGGAGAGTTACCTTAAGGCACGTAATTCTACTAGAATGCTTGAATAAAGGCGTCACAAGCCGATATGGCAGTCGTATGCACAACAACACACGGGTACTAAAGAGGCTGCTCAGTGGGATGTATTTTTTTAGCGCCTGAAATAGATGTCTATGTAGAAAAGTTATAGCAGACTACGATGGAGGCATATGGGTAGCATAACACAGTTACTCATACGAAGACATGTTGTGGGCAAGGCGGGTGTGATGGGCGAAGCTCAACGCAAACTTAAGGTTACCGCACAAGACGTGCAAAGCACCCCCATCACTGGATATGCGCGCATGCATCGGAATGTGCGGGGCAGCGCTTGTCAAAAGCGCGCCTCTCGAGCCCTTCATGCCGTCTTGCTATTGTTGGCAAAAATACGCTGAAGCCACCAAACTCCGAGTTCCGCCAACGATAAATGGTATATATAAATAACTCGCCGTTAGTGGGCCGAGTCACGTGCCCTATGTGGCCAAGTTGTTTCGCACCGCGCGCCGTGGAGCGGGGGCACATGCGTTCTACTCCCAGTGACGGAACTTCCTGTTTTTTTTTCCTTTCTATCTTTTAGTGTAGAGTTTGCAATGTCATATCTGTGACGAAAATATGTCACAGTAGTCGTGCTGGGCATCTGGCATAAAAAAGTTCCGCGTTAAAAATTTTCAAACAAGTCGTAGTCGACACTTACGACAACTTTGTAATATATATCGCGCAGCGCATACTATAGGGCAGGTGCCTCTTGCGCTGCACGATGTCGTATGCTACAAATGGCATATCGTTTCAGGTTGTACGATTGCGAGTGAGGCCTAGGTTTCCTGAAAATGACCAAGCGACTGAGCTTCAGGACCTGGTGAAACGCTGCTGGAGCCACGAGTGCAACGAGCGTCCCAGCGTGGGCGCTGTGCTTTTGGAGCTGAACGCGCTCAACAAAGTAGCACTCAAGAGCCGCTTCCTGAAGGGGTGACCACTGCGCTGAACCGCAACTGCTTTGCAGTTTCCCTCATTCGAAAACAGCGTGGTCCTACAACACTATGCGAAACAACACCCCCTCTCGCACGCGAAGGACGCTCAAGCGCTGCACCTGTTTGAGTTAACGCATTTTCTTACCACTCGTGACCTATTTTGCTAGCGTGAAAAAAATTAGGCATAATCTGCACGTGCCCCGTCTTAGTGGTCGCGACATGTACGGGCCTCTCGTAACCTCGATTCTCTCGTAGCCGTGTAAATTATGCGCGCGCATTTTTTATCTCTAGGAAAGCTGAATATCCAGCATAAGCGATGACCAAAAGGCATTTCTACCGAATTCATGCCACATGAACAAGGCTCGAGCTGTGTCTCGCACTGTGGTGGCCTGATCCTACTTTCCTTTTATTCAGTAAGAAACGAGAAAGCCAGCTTGCCTATGATCACCAGATTCACTTGAGCGTAACAAACAAGGAGGAAGCTTTTTACGGTGCGATGCGAAGTCACTATCTATGAAATTCGAGCACAGGATAAGTGTTTACGCTCTGAGTGGTCTGTGTTTTTCCCCAACAAATAATGTTGTCGAAATCGTAGTCTGCGCGGTATGGATGAACGCCCAAGTATGTTCACAGGCACGCGTAGACGGCGCGTATTCCAGAACAGTGCTGTTTATACTGCTGCGTGGTGGAGAGAATAATTTGTACCCCCCGTATGTAGTTTTTAATTACCAAACGCAGTAACTGGACACCAATGTAAAATAATACTCATATTTTAGACTGACTTCACTTGCTTCATACAACAACGTCCATCATGCTTTTAATTTAAAACACCTATTTCGGACACTGCACATCACGTTCCAGGTTGGTAACTACGGTACTGACTACAGTGTCCATCACTCCATGCACCGATGCGCCCCGCTAGCACGCTCACGCTTTAACACTTTGCCCTGCAAATCGCGGACGAGGAAGGCTGAGTTCGTTGCAATGGAGTGCGCCTCATCCTTCCACTCATTCGCCGGTGCGTCGCTCTCATCTGGTAATGGCATGGGCATGAACGCTTTGTAAGTTGCGATATTTTCATGCACTGCATGAGGGAGTTGTATTATACTGTTGCCCTTGTTACCAACAGTGGGAAGATGCTGCACGTGTTTTTAGTCTTGACGCATGTCGTGAATAAACTCTACCCCTATGCTTGTTGTTGCCATGCTTGCTGTAGCGTAAGGAGCAGACTTGCACACACTCGCTACCAGAGTAACACCATACTTTTTGCATCATTCTCAGCATTTCATGAACTGGATGCACGTATCCCTGGAAGGGCCGACCATTAAGACTGTCCACAGCATGGTGTATGACAAATAATTTAGGTGTGGACACTCCGCCCGACGGAGCGCCCAGATAATGTTCCCTCCATTCCTCCTCTCGGCCCTATTGTCACAGCGCTCCCCACGCAACCGCGGCAGGCGCATGTAGTAGAAGACTACCTGCGTGCGTAGCGTTTGTAACGGCGTTTGGCACGTGAGAATTCAGCGTCCTAAATATGTTCTCTTTCCGTTCTCACTTCGTGCAGCCAATGGCAGCGTTCGCTGCACGTGGTGTTTTTCGGTCGTGGGAAGTGCGTTATCCTTTATTTTGCAGTTGCTAGTGTTGCACGGATTAAAGCAATACTATGAGGTAGAAAAAAGATAAACGCACGTTCGCCTCGTAGTGCTAGGTTTTCTAAGCCCCATGTCACAGCGCCCCCCACAAAAACTGCGCCCGGGGCATGAACTGAAGGCAAACATTGTGTATACACATTCCGTCGCGGCGGGCGGAATGTGTCGAGACCTAACTTATTTTTATTTTTTACGACGTGGTCCACAAGCATGAACCAAAGCCCTACAGCTGGTTCACCTGGCATAAGGTATGCCGGAATCGGCCAGCTAGCCTGACAGGGTCGGTCACGTCTTGTGCGTCGTGAACCGAAATTAGCAGAAGGCCGTGCTATTGCCAGCTTCTCAAACTACATACGTTGAGAAAATACGCAGTGTTTTCAATTGGGCCCCCAAAAGCTTTAGCGGCTTTAAGCAATAGCGTTCAAGCCACATCGCATGTGCGAGACACCAGGATCGTTGGTGTTTTGCGTCGGACGCACTATTTGTCGAGTTTAGCGGTAACTGCAGAGCCTGCCCTGGTAGCTTTGTGTACGTTAAAAAATCGAAGCATATCCATGGAGTAAATGATGAGAGGGGCTAAGCGTCCGTCAGCCCGTCCGTGCTTCCGTCCGTCTATCTGTCCGTCGACCCATTCGTCCATCCGTCCATCTGCCCGCCCGTCCGTCCGTCCGTCCGTCCGTCCGTCCGTCCGTCCGTCCGTCCGTCCATTCGTTCTTGCTTCCGTCCACCCCCGCCACCATCCGTGCATCCATTGTTCTGTCCATGCGTCCATCCATCCGTCCGTACGTCCGCTCATCCGTACATCTGTCCGCCCGTCTTCTAGCCTGTCTGTCCATCCGTCCACGCGTCCATCTAGTGAACACTTCACGTATCGCCATCTCTCATCTCCTGTTGCGCATACCCGCTGTGCGTTGCCGTCCATTCGTCCGTCCGTCCATGCGTTTGTCAGAGTGTCCACTTAGTGAACACTCCAAGTACCGAGATCTCCCATTTCGGATCCCCTGTGGCACATACCCGCTCTGGAGTGGGTATGTGCCACCGTTGGTCTCGTACGACAATGGAGGATGGACAGACCCAAGCCTTAAGGAGCTTCGCCCCTAAACGGTGGCACCCATCGCAATGTTGGCTCTCGGCACTAATACATTTGGCTGTATACGTGGTAATGTGCGTAGTTCGAAAGCTACGACAATGTTTGCTGCAAGAAGCGACTGCAGCTTTCACTTTCTTTCAGATAGCGTTGTTTATAAAATGATTCATTGCACGTCACTGATCTTGAATTCAATTCTCAATCTTGTAGCTCGTAGGCCCAGCATAGAAAGGTGTTTGCTAAGCAAGAAGCAACTAAGAAGAGGCTGCCCAATTCTTTTCGAAGGCTGTCGTAAACCCATACTGCAGGGCAAACATAGCGAAAGCATGCCTTGACAAAAGACAATACTTTGTTCTGTGAGCCACCAGGACCAATTATTAACAGCCTTAATAACTTGCAACAACCCGGAAGTAATTCTTTCCAAGACTATGGCATTGTATTGTTATGACAAGTTCGCGTATAGAAACCACTCAGTAAGGCAGTTTGGTCAACGATATAGGGGAATGTCAACGTGCATAGCGGAATGAACTTCAGCCAACGCGCACTCCGTTAGAGGCTCGAAGCACTGTTTTCTCACCGCCGGCATGACAAGTGGGCAAATTGGGACTAAGTACGCTTAATTCCGTTATCGCCGGTGCCTATATTTATTGTCATTTAAGAGACATGTGAAGAGACATGTGTTTTTGGTGTGATGCTGTTTTATCTCAAGGAAATATAGTTAAGCCACTGCAACAAGCAGGCAAAACAATGCTCTGCCGGACACAAACATACCCTAAAACAGCAGGGAAAAACATTGTTGCAACATGAAAGTCTCACATCCATCAAGAGATGTTGCGCCAGGAAGAACCGCATGTGTATTGATATTTCAACTAATCTACACAACACAGATTACCGAGACACCACTGCATCGCAACTCACTCTGATGTACTACACAAAACAGCATGTAGATGAAACTACACTCAGCTTCGATGTTCCATCAGTGTTCTTAACACAAAGCAAGAGAGCCATTTAAAGCAGAGAGCAGCCACTTACTTTAATCATGAGAACGGGATTAGTCGACCAATATTACATCACAGCTAGTGCAATCGTTTTTGCGACCCGGGGTCTACCGGACGCGTCCCTGCTAACGTGGGTTGACGATACGTAAGGGTTAATTTGGGCCCGAACTCCTGTGGTAGCGTGGCGCAACTTTGGGTGGAGGAAACGAACGCCGACAAGAGGGGGAATCGAAAAAACAACAAACAGGTTTACTGGTACCATTTACACTTATTTACAGCATAGAGAGGTTTGGAGATTCAAAAACCACGAGCATGGTGGTTGAAACGTTAAAGCATGGTTCAGAGCCACGTCCAGCACTTTCAAGGGTCGTTTTAAGCCCTGTCTGGCTCCTCCTCCTCCTTGACTGAAGCACCAATCACACACAAGATACCGCTCTCCACAGCATCAGTCAGCAACACTTGGTCGTCTTATGGGGGTTGCATCTTCAGGCGCAATGCTCGGGGACTCGCTTGCTGAATTCCGTGCCGACCGGTTGTGCCCTCGCGATCTCCGACGTCAGCGTAGCTCTGGCCGACTAGGCTCTCCCTACGTCATCTCCTGACGCCGACCTCCGACGACAGTGTCTCTGACCGACTGGACTTGCTCTACGCCATCTCTTGAGGCCGACAAGTGCTGTCGCAAGTGGTGCCCCGTCCTCGGACTCCTGTGACCGTGTTTCCATCTTTCCTATCTCTTCTATCCCCTCGATTTGTCGTCGCTCTCTCTGGCTATCCTCATCTCTCTTTCTCTCTCTCTCTACGCCTTTATTACTATCCTTTTAATCCCTCCTCACCCCCATCCCTTGTGAGCTACTGCTGAAATGTCGCACCCTGATGCAGACAGTTGCGGGGCTCACTTTTCGTTTCTTTTCCTTCTTCTAAACATAAACACTTCCCCCCTTCCCCCCCAGGCGCAATGCTTCTCTGGTCTGAGTTTCCCTGAGGATAATGGAAGTGGTTTTCTTCCCGGAACAAGGTGGTGGTTGGGTTAGTGCCGCTGCCTTTCCCTGGATGGGTAGCCAAGGATTAGAGACTTTAATTGCCTAGACACGACCGGCGCGGTCGGGCTGCCTCGCCATCTCCCCAAACAAGCAAGCCTGGAGGAAATGCTTGTAGGTACGTCGGGTGAAGGAACGTCGAAGTTTCCACATTCTAATGCTTTTGTCGCTTCGCACCACTGGACGCTCGTTCCGAGAAAACTGTGTTCCGGGCGTGGGAACGCTGCTCGGCCATGCTTCTCATGGCCAGCATGGCGCCCATGGACGAAGGTTACAACAGCGTACAGTAACATCCCTCGAGAAATAACTCAAAGATGAGGCCCTTGCCATGTTACGTGCGAGGCACTTTATGGAGACGACCTCTCCTATGTTGTCGTATGCTGTCGTACTGAAAAAAACTATAACTAGCATAGCCGTTAGAGCACACACTCGCACCATAAAAAAGTCTTCTTCCTCTTCTTCGATCTACTTGTGGATAATACAAATCATTATAAAAACAACTAAAAAGTAAAAGGAAAAACGAGGGGGAAAGAAAAAGGAACCCAAAAGAAACAAGGAAGATTTCAGAGCTGCGCAGTTCATTCAGGCTTCGTACCAGTATAGTGAAAGCTGCCTCATATTCTTTTTTACTCAATACGCTTCCTTTTATCGAGTGACTGACTGAAAACTGAAACATATTTAACTTCGCCTTTCAAACCGAACACCACCCCAAAAGGAGACATGTTTCAGGACAACTTTTTGTGAAATTTGTTTTCAAAGCAAAGTACTAGAATAATTCAGTTATCAGCAATCATATAGGCTCATGCAGCAATAGTAATTTAACGGGCCTGCATTGTGCAGCAGGAAAAATGTGTGATGGTGCCGCTTTTGTTTACTTTTGTTTGAATGCCTCTTAGCGCCGGAACGCAAGAAATCCAGCAAGAATATTCTCCTGCGTGATTAATTTGTTTGTCCCTTGGTCTAAACAATATAGGAGACACATAAGCACTGTTAATGCAGGGATACAAAGACGTGCATCTGGGTTACCAAGCCGTGCTGGACATAGATGTGGCCACCCGCAGCAGTTCTCCTCGGCATCCAAACACCCAGACGAGCACTGAGTAGTCTTGAGGGAGAAAAATTACGCTGCAGTAAAGGCAAAGCATCCGCAACTATACTTAGTGGTCGTTCGGCCGTGTCAAAATCAGAATCGGAATCATTTTATTTTTCACGTCATTCAAAGGAGAGAATACATAATTAGTATATACAGAAGGAGAATCCATAGTTAAGAACTGAATTGGGACCTCCTGTACATAACAAACTCAATAACACAAGCAAAGTGGTCCTTCATGGATTTATTAATAATAATATTATTACTAATAATGACTAATTTGAATCAAGTAAGCAAATAACTTAGTAGGAAAAAAACAGCGTTAAGTAGGAAAAAATTAGCGTTAAGAAAAAGCGTCGAACAAGTAATGTGCCGTAGTCGATGAGACTAAGACCAGAGCGGGAGACATTTCAAAAGGAATAATTGGTTATGCAGCATAGTAAAACTTTAACTAATAAAAGAAATGTAATGGAACATAAGGGGACTCACAGAAAGGGGATACAAGAATGAGGAAAAATGAGAGGATAGACAAAAACTACCGAATCAGAACACCTAAAGCAATGAAGAACCGGAATCAGACAAATCAAGCAGAAAATATTTAAGTTCAGATCGGAACCTTTGAGCATTTAGTGATTTTAAATTAGACGTAGCGAATTCCACAAAGCAAGTGCTGAAAAATGTAGCGACTGCTTGCTGTAATTCGTGCGAAGAATGGGTAAAATTAAATTATTGTTTCCAGCGAATCTAGCATTGTCAGCAATAGTGATGGATGGTCTTGGTATTATGGACACCAGAATATCGCTTTGTAGTACTTTAAAACATAAATGTCAAGAATATATCTATTAAGATTGGACACAATTAGAATATCGTAGGAGTGCAATGGCTAATTTATGTTAGCAGAACATGATGAAAACGTCATCAGACGATTGGCCCAGTTTTGAATAGTCTGATGATGCCAGGTGACTGCTGAATGTGTTACTCCACGATTCAATGTTATATTTATGCCGAGAATGAATGAAAGCATAACAAATTGATAAGAGATTAGAAAAAGAGAAATGAAATCGCGCATTGATAAGAACGCGTATACCGCGAGCCATTTTCTTTGCTACTTTAGACACGTGAAGATGAAATTTGAGGTGGCAGTCGAGTTCCTCATCTAAAAACGTACAGTGATCAACTGGAGTGATAAAGTGAGTGATCAACTGGAGTGACCTTCCCCTTAAGGAATATTGGCAATCTACCTGTCATAATTTGAGAGTGCTTGCCAAATGTGCTCACCTCATTCTTATTCTTCTAGTTATTTCAATCTCGTGTTCCGGCTCCACGGTTATTACCTGTCCTAGGTATACATATTATTTTGCAACTTCAAGTGCACTATTACCTATCTCAAAGCGCTGCTCTCTTCCGAGATTGTTCTACGTTACTTTCGTTTTCTGCAGATTGATTTTAGGACCTACCTTTCTGCTCTCCTTGTCTAACTCAGTAATCATGAGTTGCAATTCGTCCTTTGAGTTACTCAGCAAGGCAATATCATCGGCGAAGCGCAGGTCACTAAGGTACTCTTGATTAACTCTTCTCTCTAACTCTTCCTATTTAGGCCTAATAAAATCTCTTGTACACTCGCGGTAAATAGCAATGGGGAGATGGTATCGCGTGCCTTACATTCTTCTTTATGTAGCCGTGTGGTGGCAGTTGATTCTCTGTATATTTCGTACAGGATGTTTATATATGCTTCGTCGACACCCTGATTCCGCAGTGTCTGCATGACTGCTGATATTTCTACTCAATCAAACGCCTTATCTATGAAAGCTATGTATAGTGGTTTGCTGTATTCTGAGTATTTCTGTATTACGTGATTGATAGTATGAATGTGGTCCATTGTTGAGTAGCTTGTCCGAAATCGCCTTGTTCCTTTGGTTGACTGAATTCTAACGTTGTCTTAATTCTGTTAGCAACTACCTTTGTAAATAGCTTGTATACGACGGAGAGCAAGCTAATCGGCCTGCAATTATTCAAATCCTTGACATTTCCTTTAATATGTATTAAAATGATGTTAGCATTCTCCAAGGTTCTGGTACTCCTCCCGTCAGGACAAACTTCGTAAACAGAATGGCTAGTTTATCTAACACTATCTGTTCTGTGTCTTCTAGCAGATCTGATGTTACCCGATCCTCACCAGCAGCTTTGCTTCTCTGCATTCCTTTTCAGACTTTTTTTACCTTTTCCGTCATTACTGGTGGGATGTCATCCGGGGTACTGCTAGATCTTATATTAAGGTCGTGGTTGTTCGGGCCACTCTACGAATCTCCGTAAAAGTCCACCGCTATTTTAACTATCCTATCTATATTAATAGTTACTTTGCCCTCCCTGTCCCTTAGCGCATACCTTCTGGTTTTTGCCCATTCGAAGTTTACTCTTCACTGCTTTCACGCTTCCTCCATTCTTCAGAGCGTGTTCAATTCTTTCCGTGTTATACCTTCATACATCGGATACCTTACGCTTACTAATCAACTTCGTAAGCTTTGCCAATTCTATTTTGTCCGCTGTATTTGAGCCTTTCATGCTCTGACGCTTCCTAATGAGGTTTTTCGTGTCCTGGGACAGCTTGCCGCCCCACCGCGGTGGTCTAGTGGCTATGGTACTCGGCTGCTGACCCACAGGTCGCGGGATCGAATCCCGGTGGCGGCGGCTGCATTTACAATGGAGGTGGAAACGTTGTAGGCTCGTGTGCTCAGATTTGGGTGCACGTTAAAGAACACCAGGTGGTCGAAATTTCCGGTGCCCTCCACTACGGCGTCTCTCATAATCATGTGGTGGTTTTGGGACATTAAACCCAACATATCAATCAATCAATCATGGGACAGCTTGCCAATGTCTTGTCTCACTACCATACCTCCAACGTCCAATGCACACTCTGTTCTAATACGCGTAAGATTATCATTCATTGCGTAAACCATAAGACTATTTTCATCCATAAGAGCGAAGTACCTGCTCTGAATCAAGACTCTAAATTCCCTTACTTTCCCTGCCAGTGCTAGCTCATTGATCGGCTTTTTGCCTATCAGTTTCTGTTGTTCCTTCAAGTCCAGTTGAACTCGAGACCGTATCATTCTATGGTCACTGCATAGTACCTTGCCAAGCACTTCCACATCCTGCACGATGCTGGGGTGCGCACTCAGTATAAATTCTATTTTTTTATTTTCGCCATTAGGGCTCCTCTATGTTCACTTACGATTCCCTCGTTTTCGGCAGAAGGTTTTAAAATCCGTAAGTTATTGCGTTCTGCGAATTCTTCTAATAACTCGCCCCTGTCAAATCTAGTACCGAGCGTAATCTCCTACTGCGTTGTCTCCAGCCCTAACTACCTTCTCCCTACCTTGGCAATGAAGTCACCTATCAGTATAGTATATCGCATTTTTGCCTCACTCATAGCCGATTTTACGTCTTCATAGAAGCTTTCAACTAGCGCGTCATCATTGCTAGATGTAGGCACGTAAACCTGTACCGCCTTCATCTTGTATCTATTATTGAGTTTATTTGTGATACCTACCACCCTTTCAACAATGGTAGAAATTCCTCTATGTTACGAGCTATATTTATGTGGATAAGGAACCCTAGGCCCAGTTCTCTTCTGTCAGCCAAGCCACGATAGCAGGGACGTGCCCACTCTGTAGCACTGTATAGGCCTCATCTGTCCTCCTAACCTCACTGAGCCCTATCACATCCCATTCAACACCATTTAGCTCCTCCAGTAGCGCAGCTAGACTTCCCTTCATAGATAAACTTTTAGCGTTAAACGTTGCCAACTTCAAGTTCATATAAATTCAAGGTCTTATGAGGCTCACGAGTTCAGGATCATATGAGATTGAAATGTGTGGTAAAACATGAAAAACTATGTGAACGCATAAGCTGGTCCTCTATTCATCACGTCCTCTTTGCGGCCTGTCGTGATAAAAAAAAACTAGAAAAGAACTTAGGACAGCTTCGCATTTTTGGTGCCACGAATGAAAAACGGGGCAGCTCAGAGGCCATCCTTGATCCTGTATGTTTTTCTCTTTCTATCTGTTCTGTCACTTTTCTCTATTCATCTCTTGCTAGTCATTTCTTTCTGAAATATATTTCCGTCTCTTTAAAAGATGTTCAGAGTGATCATCTATAATTTTCCATTCGAGTGATTAATAATGAAAGTTTTGGAGTCATTCAGAAGCTCAATAATTGTACGTTTGCATCCAACAGCCACGCAGTGCCGCGGCTGCTTTCTTTTCACGGCGGAGCGTTTGACATTGAGTGTACTAGCAGTACTGACGCTATTTTTCTGTGGTGGTCGCTATTTTCGAGCTAGTGAAATAGCCGCAATACGCTGCCGTATCAACGTACGCGTACTTCTTCGCTAACACCTTCGCTCTTGCTGCTCCTGCTACTGCGTCTGAGGTAGCAAGGATGCTTGTTTTACAGTGAAAGCTGTCATGAGATCAAACTCGGGACACCCGCGGCTCCGTAGTTGTCCGCCGCCGCCCGTGTCCGTAACCACTATCGTGAAATAAGAAAAAGAAACTAGTACCAAGGTTAAAGCGGGACTTGAACCTGACTCCTCTGCCTGTCACCCTAGTATTCTACCACTGCGCCACGCCGGCGCTTGGGATTTGTTGGCAAACTTGCCTCAGGAAGCACGATGTCCGGAAAGGAATTGTGTTACTAAGAGAATTCTACCACTGCGCCACGCTGGTGCTTGGGACTTGTTCACAAACTTGCCTCAGGCAGGCTTGATGTCGGGAAAGGAATTCTGTTACTATGAGAAATAAATAAAGCGATTTCGAACATCAAACGAACAACCAAGCGTACACTGCGGATAACGTAATGAGTGAGTCGTCCAATGCTCCAACCCAGTACAAAAGATTGTTTTGATCGCCTATTAACTGTGACGCATACCCACTTCAGGCATAATTCCTCATCGTCGTCAGCCACCTCATGAACAATTGGCACAAAATGCCTCGCAATAGTTTAGCGGATACCATGCTTCACAGAAGAATGACACAAAATAGCATAGCGAATGGTGGTCTACTACCCACAAATTATTATTATTAATACCGTGTTGAGTACTTAGCAAGTGTGCTCGCAGAAGTTACCCAATGAGTGTTTAAAAAAGGTTCGGAAAGGCCGCTCTTCTGGCTTTCGCTGTGACTGTGCTGCGCTTACCGCACAGGCCTTGCGTTTTTCTTGTAAAGGTTTAATGCTCATGGGATTTCTTATATTTGAAGCAAGCTTCTATACGTCCTCCACTAATTCACATGAAAAAGGGCGTGCCTGTCAGAAAATTCTTTACATAAATAATTTTCCGACACGTACAGCAGGTACGGTTTCTTGAATAACTTTGAAGTCAGTAAAATAATGAGTGAGCAATAATGAGTGCGCGTCTACCGCCGGACGTTCGCGCATTCTTGGAGTTGGAAATGTTTAAAAATCACCCGTATTCAGTTGATCCTTTTGCTTGCAGATACTGTCTGCTTCCTGCAGCCCGTCTGCCTTCCTTAATCGTTGCAGGTCACCAAACCGCTTAAAGCTGTCATTGTTTGTTTAGCGTAGAATGAGCGAATACGTGAGGATGACGTTCCTTCCCTTCCTTTTTATTTGGCTTCACTGAACTCTTCGCGTAAGCAAGTAAGCCGGAGAATGACGACGAAGTACAAGCGAAAGCTGGCCGGTTGGTTGTTTGACCTTCGCAGTTCGCCTCGCGTGTCCAAAGGAATTCATCGACATTGGTGCCTTGGCGCCATCTATTGCAACTCCCAAGACCCTAGCCAGTCATCGTCCGGAGGAGATCGTCAATTTGTTGTGATGTAGCTGCGCGTGCTTCCCACAGGCGGCGCTACAGCTATGTTTCTAAGCCCAGTCCTAAAGCTGCGCGAATATTTGAACAGTTCGAATAATCGGAAACAGTGTTGCGCTTGATTCGGTACTCGAATGTGGGGGTGCACATTTGAAATACTGATTCTTTGTTGAGCAGTGTTTGACTCTTATTCCATTTTGTTCTAGGCTCCTATTCATACACACTGATGCAATATCGCAGGCAAGGACAGGCGCGTGCACAACCCACCCTTCCTCCCTGAAAATTACGCTCGAGCACGAAACTACGTTCGACCACATTTGCCTGCCCAGCCCACACTTAAGATCAAGTAGAAGCTCACCCCCAATATAAATTTCTGCCTGCGGCGCTGCACCGACCTATATCCTACGCCCATATGGGTCCTATTCGTCGATGTGAAAGCTGCACTCTGATAATTGGCTGTGTTTTCGCAATATAACGAGCTGAAATTGTCCAATACTGAGACTTTTCGGTATTTCGAAGGCAGAAAGTGGCAGGTTCGCTCTCTGCCAGCGGCAAGTTATCTCTTTGTTCGCTTTTCTTATTTCACTTTTGCATTGCGACTACTTCTAGCGGTGGCGTATACCAAAGGCGTTGGGGATCTGGCACAACCTGTGCTCATGCTGGGGAGCCATGTTGTTCATGAGACCCCCCTTGAAATTTGTCTTTTAAGCCTCATATACCTGAATCGTGTGCCGTTGATGTATACATGCTGCCTTCAAGATTTTTATAGCCTATTTTTCTTTCACCATGTACAGGTGGTGAAAATATACCTTCGCGGTGTGAGATGACTGAAATCGCAACTGCAGCTCCATTGGTTTCAGAGAAGACCCTATAAAACACTGTAATTACGAGAGTTGCAAAAAAATGTTCATTTCTGATCTTCATTTCAAGGCAAAGTTTTAATTTTGATATGAGTAAACATAACACAATCACATATGAAAACAAAATGGCCACCTTAGCAAGATGTGCTTTCCCCTTAGGATTTTTCTGAACTTACGCTACGTATTTTCAGTAACTTTCTTTACACACTCATTGGAATTGCTGTGTTATGTTTCTCTATTATTCTGAGGAAGAAAGACGAAGGAACCCTTAAATTTTCACTCCTTTCCTTCGAACAAAAGTTAACGTCACTTATCTCATTCACACAGATTATCCTGCTAGCCATGGAGCCAAGCAGTATTTTTTTTAGTTTTCAACACACAACTCTCATAAATGGAGTGCATTAATTACAAGTGCTAGAGACCGCTCATCTTTAATGTCAACTGTATTGGATTACACAGACGAGATTCCGCTGAATATCTATGCCGACGTGACACAATGAGAACATACGTTATCTTTTATTAGAAAGATGTTTTATACCAGTATCTACCTAAATGAAGCACCTGTACCCTTCGAAAGAAAAAAAAAATATTGTGGAACTCTTAAGCTTCGCCTTTTAAAGTTCAACGTGATAGTGATGTTCTGTTCCTAGTGCGTACTTCAAACACTGTGTGTATTAAAATTTGTCAAACGTGCTATGCACCCTTACGCGGGCTTAAAGTTGCTGTAGGGTGTGTGCCTTTTGTAGTAGGTGGCTGGCTTTAAACCGATGGCAATGTGCGATTGCACTACGCATTATTACGGCAATAGTTCATGTTGTATTGTGAAGTAGGTCTACAAGACACATGTGTTTGTAAAGCGTGCAAGTTACTTTGACTGCATTTCCAAGCATACAAAAATGCTTTCATTGTGTTCAGTAGCAAATGCATCGCTGGTGGCTGAACACCCGCTTTCGGCGCAAATGACCCGGGTTCGATTTCCGCTCAAACCCCGAAAGTTTTGTTATTTATTTTATTTACATCCTTCTTGATTTTTTGGTGGCGCAAGAACGCTCGATTTTTTGGTCACGCAAAGATAACTTCTGCTCACAACCAACGACGAGGACGCCGGAATTTATGTGATACGAGCTCTCGAACGCTTTTGCGTTAAAAAAGGACCTATAAGGAGTAGCGGGAGAATATCTTTCGGTGGTGGGATTATTCATGAAACTACTCGTCAAGAAATGCTTGTTGCATATGTTGGCAATTAACAGCCTGTGGGCTTTCGTTTCAATGGAAGAGAAGCAGGCCGCCACATTAATAACATACTCTATTTTTATCTATAAAATCTTCCCTAATTCGATATTTTTCTCATAGAAGCAAATTACCGATAACAAAACCAAGCACCCTGGTTCGTGCGTTTTTAATCGCTATGGTACTCAGCTGCTGACCCACAGGTCGCGGGATTGAATCGCGGCTGCGGCGGCTGCATTTTTGATGGAGGCGAAAATGCTATATGCTGGTGTGCTCAGATTTGGGTGCACCTTAGAGAACCGCAGGTGGTCGACATTTCCGGAGCTTTCCACTAAGGCGTCTCTCGTAATCATGTGGTGGTTTTGGGACGTTCAACCCCGCATATAAAGCAATCATCGTCTGTGCATTCACAGAAGCATAGGTGGATATTTTACAGCGAAAGCTGTTACGACATTAAAAACTCGGGTCTCGCGCAGCGCTGTAGTTGTCCGCCACCGCCGCCGCCACCGCTGGTGTCCGTAACCAAGTCACGCGTAATTAGAAAAAAAAAACGTAGTACAAATGGCACAGTGGGGCTCGAACCCAGGTCTGCTGCGTGCCAAGCCCTGTATTGCACCATTGGACCACACCGGTGCTTTTTTTTCTTTAATGAATGAAATTATCACCAGTAAGTGCACAGAACATACTTAATCAGAAGTCAGGCAAACACACACAAGCGTCAAGAACGGGAAGCCACTCCGGAACAGGGTCAAAAATCTCAACAACACTGCGCACTTGAGCAACTGCTTCTCGGAAGACAGATCTCGTCGACCGTGGTGGCTTGGCGTGTCTATCGATCATGCGACTTTTCCATAATGAATAAAGTCCCAACAACATAAACAAGTCGTAAGGAGTACTATCAGTCAGACACTTTTTGAACGAAAGGAACCTAATACCATGGGCTGTGATTGGAAGTTCTTTTCTTAACGTTCTTTTTAGAATGTCCCAAAAATAAAAAGCGTCACGACAATGAATAAAACAATGCTCTATAGTCTCAGGTTGGTTGCAGAGTCTACAATTCACTGTCCAGGGTACGTATATTGACTTTTCATTCAGCCACGTTTTCACTGGTGGCAGCGTGGAAGTTTGCAGTTTAAAGAAAAATCTTTTCGCTGAAGGAGATATACACATTTTACGTACACGAAATAATACATCGTGACCAGGCAGAAGCGAATATGGCTTTCGATAAACAGGTTCGGGGAAAAGGTTATTCACAAGTGCAGCGGTTAAATTTGTTCTGTCAATAGTATACAAATACTCTAAGGTAAACCTGGCTTTCAAAAAACTGACAGTATCAACAATTTCTTTTAGGAATCCCCGCAACGGCAATTCCTTAGCAACGCTTGTTGTGACATGAATAAAAGGAAGGTGGTAACACAGACGGTTACGAATAACCACTAATAGAAATGGTTGGCACACATCCTTCAGGTAGAAAAATCGACACCAACTGTCGCACAAACAAATGCACAAGGCCAAGGCCACCCTTTTCAAGTGGAAGAAAAAGATTGTCTCTTCTCATGGTTTCCCAGGAAGAGCTCCAAATAAAGCAGGCAAATATCCTATGAAAGGCTTGAATGTGTACCCGAGAGCAATGCAATACCTGCAGAATATAAATAAGCTTCGATACAAGGAATATATTGCACGCTTTCGCTCTGGCAAAAATGGAAACTCCCGTCCGTGCCATGTTGCCACCTTTCGGCGGATCGTAGTTATCGCAGCGGTCCAGTGTGAGCCGCTGTTACGATAGCTATCGACAGGCACACCAAGGTATTTTATAGGAGTCGCAATTCAATGAATATTTGCGAAGACCGAAGGAGTTGTAGCCCACATGCCTAGCCAGAATTCACTACTTTTATCAAGATTTATGCTGGCGCCAGCGACTTCACAGAAACGTAAAGTAGTGTTGACTGCTTCTTGAACGCTGGGTTTATCAGCGTAAAAGAAGGCAATGTTATCTGCATAAGCTAGAACTTTAACTTCCTGAGCATCATATTGGTAGCCTCTTATGCTGGACTTTAGAAGCACACTTAAACATAATGGTTCCAGATAAATTGAAAAGCAAAGGTGACAGCGGACATCCCTGACGTATATACAGATGAATTTAACTCTATTATATTGGAAAGTGTGCGATTTACAATTAGCCTAGTTGTGAACTTCTTATAACAGAGTGAGATACCACTGTATAGTACATCACCCAACTGCAGGTGTCTTAGGAGCCGGAACAAAAAAGCATGCTGTACCTCATCAAATGCTTTTGCAAGGTCTATTTGAAGGAGGGCTACTTGGTTCATGCTACCATCTATACACCCAAGAACTGAACGTGCAATATGAATGTTTGTCTGTATAGAGCGACCACGAATCGCACATGTTTGGTGGTCACCTACACATTTAGTAATCACTGCCTGTAGCCGATTTGTCAACAATTTAGCAAATATTTTGTAGTCAACGTTGCATAACGATAGAGGCCTGTATTCGTTAACTCCCTTTAATGCGTCAGGATCAGCACTTTTGGGATTAATGTTGCATGGCTCTGATAGAAAGAAGGAGGAAGTTCACCACGGTCATAAGCCTCTTTAAAAAGTTGCTCAAGGAAAGGTATCAGAAGCTCCTGAAAAGCTATGTAAAATTCGCCACTAAGGCCATCTGGGCCAGGAGTTTTGTTTTTCTGCAACGTTGTTATTGCAAATCTAATTTCCTCTCTGGTTATTGGCCCCTCTACAGTGACTCTATCATCATCTTGTAACTGAGGCACAAGGGCAATGAAGTGGTTAGCTTCTTCCTCAAAATTCTCCTGAAGCTCAGCCGCGGTGAACAAACATTTGTAATAATCTTCAAATGCGGCTCTTATTTCACATGTCTCTCTGCAAAGGGAACCCCGCGACTCAATTTGCAGTATCTGTTTAGAAAGTGCATATCTCTTTTCAACCCCGAGAGATTTTTAGTGGTTTCCTCTTCAGTGAAATGGGTAACACGGGAACCAATCTTAGCTCCTTTGTATAAATCTGTATCATGTTTTTGTATCTGTGCTCGAATCACATTTATCTCGTCCCCATACAATCCCGGCTGTTGACTTTCAAAAGTATGGAGTTTATGAAGCAATTCCTAAAGATAGCGCTTTTCAGCTTTTTTTTTCTTTTGCGCTATTTCGCATGGAATACTGATTGCCTGATACTTGACTCTTTCTTTTAACCTTTCCCATTGAGCGAAAATCGGCAGCTGTCCACACTGTGTTACCTCTTGTACCGATTCTGTTACTATTTTAACAAAACTATCTTCATGCGACAGCTGTACGTTAAGCTTCCATAGGTCTCAGTTTAGAGGGGATTTACAAAAATTTTGAGGACCCCAAGAAACAGTGACCAAGCAATGGTCTGTAAAAAATATGGGCTTTACAGCATAATTATGAATGTGAGACCATAAGCTTAGAGATACATATACATGGACCACGCCGGTGCTTAGGATTCAGTGGCAAATTTGCCTTAGGCAGGCTTAATGTCGGGTATGGAATCACGTTATTATACCTTATAAATCATGTTACAACAAGCAGTCGTCGCACAATGTGAATAGCGCAACGAGTGTGTCGTCCAATGCTCCAACCCATTACAAGAGCTTGTGTTTGTTCCGCTATTAACTCTGTCGCATACACACTTCAGGCGTAGGTACTCATCGTAGTCAGCCACTGCAAGAACGTTCGGCAGAAAATTCCTCGCTATATTGTTTAGCGGATACCCCGCATCTCAGAAGAATGGTGAAAAATTGAATAGCGAATGCTGGTCTACTACCCCAAATATTGTATTATTATCTTATAACAATGCCGTAGTGGACATCGACCAAGTGTGCTTGCAGAAATTACCCAATGGGTGTTTAGATAAGGCTCTGAAAGGCCGCTCTTCTAGCTTTCTTTGTGACTGTGCTCCTCCTTAATTCCGCTCGTGCCTGGTGGTGTTTTTTTTTTTTTTTTTCGGTGCGGGTGTGGTGGGGGGCACCTCCAGAATCTGAAGTAGTGGCCGGGTGGCTAATGTGGTCGAGTGTCACTTTGTGCTCTATATTCGATAAAAAAAAACGCCAACGAAAGCTAGAAGGGCGGCCTTTCAAAGCTTTTTCTAAACACCCATTGGGTAACCACTGCAAACATATCGCTGTAAAAAACTTACTCCGAAGTGGGAGGAAAATCTTGTCTTCTAGCGTCTCCCCTATTCGAAGGAAGTTTTGTTCCGGCCACCCGAAGCAAATTTTTTACTTCGGCTGGCTGGCGCAATTGCGTGGGACATCCGGATCACTTTTCACTGATATTTCATTCGGGCCAGCCGAAGTGATTGCGTGACGCCTCCGGAGCATTTCTCAGTGGCCTTTCGCTCCGGCTTGCCGGAGTGATTACGTGGCACCTCCGGTGAATTTTTTTGCTTATTTTTGACCGCGGCTATCCACAGCTTCTGCGTCGCACCTCCGGAGTATTCTACTTATGTCCTTACTTTATCCGGACTAAATTTCAGTGAGGGGCATCAGCATTTTTCAAGTGTTTGCTCTCTATTTATTCTACACTGATCCTGTCAGGCGTCGGCTATATGAAGGAATTTTTAAATGTAATGCAAGCACTGCAGAGTTACTGTGTATTTCCATAACAAAGCTTTAGCACATGAAAGTCAAAAAGGCACTTCAGTTCATAACCTTTTATTTATTCAGAATATACTGTCATTTGTGATAAATGACAGAGCATTTGGGAAAAGAAGACAAGAATATACAAACATACAAAAGGTCACCAAAAACAAAACAAAAGAAGACAGGTAACATGAGGTTTACAGCTCTCAAGTTTCAAGTGCAGCACTTTGAAATGAAGGCCAAACGACAAACGAAGAAAGCGTGGCCACCGGAAACAGCTGTTCACCATTCCCAAAGGATAATTCACCAGCTTCATTTATGACACAAGGGTTCCGCTTAGTGCTTCCTGCATAATTTAGCACACAAAATTATACATGAGAATTGCAAATCATGCGAGAGGCACGAAACCGAAGACTCTGCCACAGGTACTCAATAAATTATAAGTTATAGAGTTTGCGAATACATTACAAAAACTAGCTTCTTAAACCGGCCAAAACACACAAAAAGACAGCATGAGCGTTCAATATCTAAAAGTATATCACATGTTCTCCGGTGTCAGACAGCGGCTACGTGATAAAATAATACATCCCCGTGACGAGAACAAAGATCAAAACGGGTGTAAGTTTCCCATGTCGGTAGTTTCTTAAATCGGTAGCTCTAGTTTGGCTGAAACACTCGAAGGCTTTTTGTTCCACTAAAATGAACTAATTTTGGTACTCTCGACCAGAGCATCAGGACTGCCTATCCCAATCACTTCCTAATTTTATCAATGTTATTGCTTATATTTTCAGTCGTATTTTAATATTTGCTCATCGTCATACTTCTCGTAAATTAGGCCCTTAGAGTTTCAATGGTTGCGGCCTGCTTTTAAGAAAAGCGTACCCTTATTCTCCTTTCCAATTTGTATTCGAGAGAAGTTGGCGTTGCTCTCTTTCCTTTGTTTTAATTTCCATGCCCACTGTTTTGTTACTTGTAATAGTGAACATTTTTCAAAGTATTTATTGCATGACTTGCTTCAACTTCAAGCACAAAATCAACTTCACTACAACATAACAAAATAAATTAGCAATGAAAGGTACAAACATCCCGCCGCCTAAGCCAACTGTATTTCCATCGTATACTGGCCGAAATGAGGGAAGGTCGACGAGTTTACCCAACTTACAGGTCCGTGCCCATGTCGGCCGGAGCTCATGGAAAGTGATTCCTGTACAGGCGTCAAGATGAATCCACCAGGATTGGAGTAGTTCTCTGTTCCCCTGTCCTGTTCACAGGCCAGCGTTGTTGCTTCTGGTATTCGAGCCTTGTTCGTAAATGAGAGATAGAAAGCATAGAATGAAGCGTTTTTTTTTTTTTTCAGTGAGAAGGTCGATGGTATAGGTAAAATTTTGAGTTTCCTGTCCCATCGACCTTGACTCCCGTTTCCAGTCCCCCTTCCCCTCCCCCAAAAAAACTGCATTCACGGCCATGCCAGAGGGACTGAAAAGAGAGAGAAAAAAAAGGCTTCAGCGGGATAGGTACTTTCTCCTTCAAACAACAGAGAAAATACGGCTAATTTCTGGATCTGGTGCCCTTTCTTTTCTCTCTTACTCTCATAACCCTGACCCTTGATCCTACGTTGAGCTGTGTGGTCAAACTTGTTGCAGAAATAAATGTTTAACCCCACCCCTTCCCCTTCCTCTACAGAAACGTCGAGCGTCCTACAACTCTATTAGAGGCGTTTTGCGCAAAAATATGAAAAAAAAGAGCACTGACTGTGCCTGTCTGTGCTCTCTTTCTTCTTGTTATTTGTTTTCCGCGAAGCGTAGTTCACAATGGAATACAGACGCACCCAATGCTCGGTTCTTTTAAGCTCTACAACCCGTTCCACCAAGCGACCCTACGCTCCCTTCTTTACGCATTACTCACCACTGGTCTCGTCAG